TTTTTTTTTTTTTTTTGTATCTAGGATTGAACTAGGGGCACTCTACCACAAAGTCACATCCCCAGCCCTATTTTGTATTTTATTTAGAGACAGGGTCTTACTAAGTTGCTTAGTGCCTTGCTGTTGCTGAGGCCGACTTTGAACTTGCCGGCCTCCTGCTTCGGCCTCATGAGCCACTGGGATTATAGGCCTGTGCCACTGCACCTGTCCAGGTTTAGGGTTTTTTTTGTGTATGTGTGGTGCTGCAGATAGAACCCAGGACCTTGTACATGTGAGGCAGGAACTCTAGCAACTAAGCTATATCCTAAACCTTATGTTTAGTTTAATTTTTTTTTTCAAATAAAGGTTATGTGCAGAACCCTTTTTTAAAAAATATTTACTTTTTAGTTTTAGGTGGACACAATATCTTTATTTTATTTTTTATGTGGTGCTGAGGATTGAACCCAGGGCCTCACACATGCTAGGCAAGCACTCTGAGCCACAACCCCAGCCCCTCTTGCTAAGTTCTTTAGGAACTCACTAAGTTGTTAAGGCCTGCCTCAAACTTGTGATCCTCCAGCCCCAGCCTCACAAGTCCCTGGGATTACAGGTGTGTGCCACTGTGCCTAGCAAAATCATGTAAATTTTTTGCAAGCACCAACTTCATACTATATTATTAAAATCTCCAAGTCTTATGAGCCAATATGAACATTTTATTATTTTCATAATTTTTTCTTGAAGATAAAATTGTTATAGTTAAAATTGTAATGCTTTTTCACTTCTGAATTTCTTGCCTATATTATCACCTTCATTATTGTTGTAAGTATAAGTTGTCATAGTTACTTGTAAATATTAATCATGAATTTAATTTTCACTCATGTAAAACTTTGGAAAATGTTTATTTTGATTCTATATAAGGTGGCATTACAGTCACTACCACTTCCTTCAATGAGTAATATGCTAGTATATGAAAACCAATGCTATAATTTTTTATAGGTGGTAAATATTTATAAATACATCAATAATTATAAATACTAGATCTTTATTATGTTAAGCCAAACATCAGTAATTAGGAAATGCTTAATTACTTTCTTGAGTTAATTGATTATTACATAAGAAAAGGTGACTTTTCGCGGCTCATGTTCTGTGAAGCATCATGGTGAATTTATATTTTGTTTTTCAGGTGTTTCATTTTTTACTTTTGGTACCTTAAAGAGTGTTGGGCTTTCCCATGCTCCTACCCTTCTTGGCAGACCTTCATCAGACAATCCTAATGTCTTAGTTTTGAAAACTCACATTAACTTACTTTGTGGTGGTGTTGCTGGAGCAATAGCACAGACAATATCGTAAGTTTCTTCAACAACTTAATTTAGTCAAATTATAGTTATCCAATCCTAATATTTAGCGTTGGTTAATTATTTTAGTTTTTCTAATAAATTCTTCAAAAACAGGATCCCTTGTAAAACAACAAGTACTAATTTTTATAAGCATTAATTTTTTTTCAGATAAGCCTTAACTTTAAGGATATTAATAAGTAATCATATGCCAAATTGATAAAGTTAAGGTGAATCCACCCGATTTTATACAGATACACTCAAAAGAAAGAAAAAGAAACACTAAATATATTGTTCATCCATATTTTCTTGTGAACTTGCCTATATAAAATTTCTAAAGTTTGAAACATTTAAGAGAGAGACTGTGTGTGTGTGTGTGTGTGTGTGTGTGTGTGTGTGTGTGAACACATGCGTGCTCGGAGTCACAGTTTGCTTTGAATCTCGAAGTCCTACTTTGTGCCAGATAGTACTCTAGGAATTGGGAAATTCAATGAAAGGAAAACAAAGTTGTTACCTCAGCAAGTTTATCTTTTTATTAGGAGTAGCAATATTGTGTTACTCTAGACAGATTTTAAAATGTAGTGGGGATGTTGATAAAGGTATTACTATAGTATAATTGGGAAGGTGACTTCAAAGAATTTTCCTAGGTCAAAAGAGATTGAGTAGAATGAAATTGGAAGAAATTAGAACACAAAATACAGGGATTTTTCAGCAATAGGAAGAAGAAAAGCTTTTTATGAACAAGAGAAAATATTCTGAAAAATAAGAAGACAAGGAAATAGTAGTGTTACAAACAATCAAAGAGTATCCAGGACTGGGGATATAGTTCTGTTGGTAGAGTGCTTGCCTTGCATGTACAAGGCCCTGGATTCGTTCCCCATCACCATACAAAATAAATGAATGAATGAATGAATAAATAAATAAATAAATGAGTCAAAGTCTTAAGAAAAAAACCCCAAAAACTAAGAGTATCCAGTGGAAAAGGAAAAGTCAGTAAGATCAGTAAGGTTTTCATTTTTCCTAATAAAAAATTCCAAATTGAGGATTATTATTATTTTTTTTTTTTGAAAGCAGATTCCATGTATTTGTAGGTGGGAGCAGATTGTACTAGATTGAAGGTAAAGAAGAAAAGATGTGTGATTTACTTTTGGAAAGTCGGCTGTCAATCCTGTTCACTTGAGAGACATGTTCATCTCCAGCTATTATTATCATTCTCTTTTTGTTGCTTTCCTTTCTTTACTAACTCACAGCTTAGCTCCCTAAAATCTGTCTAAATTCCACTTTTTTTCTTAAAAAGTATATTCTATGCCCATGGAACCATCCATCATCCAGTGGCTCCGGTTCTTTTTTTTTTTTTTTAAAGATAGAGAGAATTTTTTAATATTTATTTTTTAGTTTTCGTTGGATACAACATCTTTATTTGTATGTGGTGCTGAGGATCGAACCCAGGCCGCATGCATGCCAGGCAAGCGCATTACCGCTTGAGCCACATCCCCAGCCCTGACTCTGATTCTTTAAGCCTCTCTTCTGTTGTCCTAGTTCTTGGGCTATTTTAATAGTACCTCCATTTTCAGGTATTTTCTGATTTATAGCCTACTTTTCTGTGTGAAAATTTTAAGAACAAATCAGACTTCAGCCTCTCTTCTCAAACTAAGTATGTAGAACAGCTCATTCATCTTCATTGTTTTATTTATTTTTTCATTTTCCCTCCCTTCTTTTATTCCTTCCATCCATCCCTCCTTCCTTCCTTCCCTCTTTCCCTCCCTCCCTTTCTTCCAACTTTCCTTCCCTCCTCCCTCCTCTCTTCCTTTTTTTTTTGGTACTAGAGATAGAACCCGGGGGTGCTTAACCTCTGAGCCACATCCCCACCCCTTTTTAAATTTTTTTACTTTGAGACAGGGTCTTGCTAAGTTGCTTAGGGCCTTGCTAGTTGCTGAGGCTGGCCTCAGACTTGCAATCCTCCTGCTTCAGCCTCCCAAGCCATTGGGATTACAGGTATGTGTCACCATGCCCAGCATCTTCATGGTGACCACCTTTGTATAGATATTTTAATCTCTATTATTGACTCCCTATTACAGCTCCAGCAAACTTTTAGATTCTACTTGGTCTTCTGCCATCGTTGAACACTCTAGAATTCAAATATTACCTTCTTGGGGCTGTGGGTATTGATCAGCAGTAGAAAGCTTGCCCAGCATGCACAAGACAGTAGTTTTGATCTTTAGCAAAACAAAACAAAAAAAAACAACAAATATACCTTCTTGTCTTCATCTTTGTCCTCAGCCCTCAACTTTCCTATTTGTTATCGATAGACACCCATTCTACTAGTCCTAATCAATCATTTCCCACATCATATATAACTAGATAGTCACTATGTTTTGTCATTATTTTACTTTAGAAGATTCCCTAGAATGCCGTTTTGTCTTTCCCACTGTTATTTCCTTTCTTTTGGACTTTTTTAGTTTATCTTCTTATGTTCTTTCTACCCACACCATTTCAGGTTGGAAACCAATCCTGCAGTTGAGGTTTTCGGTCTCTATAGTCCTGTAAATCTTTTTCCTTTTCTCTTCTTCCCCAATAATAAGTATTTTCTGGAGATGGTATTGAGGTACATAGGGAGCCTCAACTACTGGTAATGTTATTTCTTATGTTGCAGGGTTGATATGTGGGTATATTTTTTAAAACAATGAATTTAAATGTGTATTAAATGTATGATTGTTTTATTATACTTTTGTGCATATTAGATTTCATAGAAAACTTGAAATAGGAAAGTAGAAAGCAGTTTTGTGACACTGATGGATGTTTCTCAATAATTTTAAACTTAGTATTGGAATAATAATATCTACTTCATGCAATTGTTTTGAAGTTGAAATAATGAACATAAATAGTTTAGCATAGTACTGAATACAAAGTGGTCAGTACTAGGAATGTAAAAGTAGTTTTTAAAGAAATCACCTGCAGTCCCACTGCTAAAAGAGATTACTTTGCATATATAACTTTTAGGCAATGGTATAATTTTCTCAGCCCTTAAAATGCAATTATTTGTATCATTAACTCTAGCCCTTCAAAAAAAAATTGTGTTAGTCTACTGTATATGTGGGAACTTGCTGAATATTCTTCAGGTAGTAGTTCTCACTCTTGGGGTGGATTTTGATTTCAGTGGACATTGGTTAATGTCTGAAGACATTTTTGGTTGTCAAAACTGTAGGGCCGCTACTGGCAAATAGTGGGTAAAGGTCAGGGAGGCAGCTAAACATCTTAGGATACACAGGATAGTGCCCACAGCAAAGAAAGATCCAAAATATCAACAGTGCCAAAGTTGAGAAACCTTATGTCAGCATTCCAACAATGAAAGCACCCAGTTTGTTTCTTTAGGAAGTGGCATAAAAATATGGTTTCAAGAAATGAACAGAACTTGATATTGCGATAATGAGAAAGACGTGTCCTTTAAAGAGAGAAAGGAGACATTGCATAGTTAATTGATTTATTCATGTGTTTATTTCCTGATTCCCAGATTGGAGAAAACATTAAGAATACACTTTATTTCCTAGTGTGAATGGGACTTTGCATTCAATGCTTGTTGAAATAAAATGAAAAATAATGTTTTTTAAGTCTTTTTGCCTTTTCTTCTTTTAGATACCCATTTGATGTAACTCGTCGGAGAATGCAACTAGGAACTGTTCTGCCAGAATTTGAAAAGTGCCTGTAAGTTCTCCATACATCATTGTATCTTTAGAAAATGTAATGTTTGAAAGTCAGTAGGAAGATAGGACTCTGGTCTCACCTATAGTCCCTGTCTTTCATTTTGTCTCCAATAGTATACTGTGGTAACTTTGTAGAAACATAAAGAGAGGTACATGTATAATTTTAAAAATTCTGGGAGCTACATTTTTAAAAAATATAAAAACAAACATAATTCTTTTATAATATTTTTTTGTTTCATCTAATAAGTCTGAAATGTTATCATTTAAACACTTCAAAGTTTTTGTAATATTTTGCAATATTTCTGCTAACTATTTGAAATCCAGTGTGTATTTTATACTTACTCACATCTCAATTTAAGTGCTCAGTAGCACATGTGGATAGTGGCTATCATTACTGCACAGAATAGTTCTGCAGCTTTCCATAATCTGTAGAAATTTAGCATCATTCTGATTTGTGCTAGCTTTCTGTCATTATAACACATACCTTAGATAATCAACTTATAAATAGGAGAGGTTTATTTTGGCTCATGGTTTGAGAAACTCCAGTCCATGATTGATTAGCCCTGTTTTCTTTGTGTCTGTGACGAGACAGCACACCATGGTAGGCATTCATGGCAGAGGAAAACCACTCACTTCATGGCTGGGAAGTGAAAAAAGAGAAGAAAATAAGGGGTTGGGGACTCACAGTACCTTTTGAGCCCATAATGATCTAAAAAGACTTTTAACTAGACCTCTCCTCTTAAAGGTCTCATCATCTCCCTATAGCACCTCCCTGGGGATCAAGTCTTTAAATCATAGACCTTTAGGGGAAATATTGCAAAATATTGCAAAATATTGCAAAATCTTGAAATGTTGAAATGATAACATTTCAGAATTATTAGATGAAACAAAAATATTATAAAAGAATTATCTGTTTGTTTTTACATTTTTTTAAAATGTAGCTCCCCGGGGCTGGGGTTATAGCTTAGTGGTACAGATCTTGCCTCACATGCGTGAGGCCCTTGGTTCAATCCTCAGCACCACATAAAAATAAACAAATAAAAATAAAGATATTAAAAAAAAAATGCAGGGCTGGGGATGTGGCTCAGTGGCAGTGCGCTCGCCTAGCATGTGTGAGGCACTGGGTTCGATTCTCAGCACCACATTAAAAAAATAAAAAGTAAAGATATTGTGTCCACCTAAAAACTAAAAAAAAAAAATATTTAAAAAAATGTAGATCTCAGAATTTTGAAAATCATACATGTAGCTCTCTTTATGTTTTTTATTTAATAGAGCTTCTCTAAAATGAATTTTATAAGAGAAATGGGATGTAACTGAAACCTTACAGAAACCAGACCCATATACCAGTTTGGCAATATGTTGTCCCTCAAAAGAAAAGCAAAATATTTGTTCAGACCTTGGATTGCCTTGTTCATGCAATAGGTTTTTTTGAAGATTTCAAAATTGCTTATTAAAGGGAAAAGGAAATGGCTATATATTGGTTTGAAAGGAAAGAAACAACTCTGAGCCAGGTGTGATGGTGCATTCCTCTAATCCCAGCATATCAATCCAGCCTTGGCAATTTAGGAAGGTCCCAAATACTTCAGCCGGACCCTGTCTCAATATAAAAAAATTAAAAGGGCTGGGGATGTAGCACAGTGATAAAGAGCCCTGGGTTTGTCAATCCCCAGTACTCCCCCCTAAAAAAGAAAGAAAGAACTGTTTGAAACAAGAAAGACTTTATTGCTGAAATCTGAAAGAGAGTCTTTCAAACTTTAGTTCTAAGCTCACCAGCTAGTTACAGTATTTTAAAAGTTAAGCTATGCTGGATAGGGTCGAACATTCTTGTAAGCCCAGCTGTTTGTTTGAGAGGCTAAGGCAAGAGGATCATACATGTAGGGCCAGCCTGGGCAAGTTAAGGAGACCCTGTTTCCAAAAAAGGTGTGGAGGAGGTAGGGGGAGCTGGAGGAGTAAGTAGCTAAGTAGTAGAATACTAGCGTGTGCAAGATCTTGAGGTTGATCCTAGCATTGCAAAAAGAAACAAACAAATACAGGGATTGCCTCAATAGTTGTGAAATAGTGTTGTTAGTTAACATCATAGATGTAGCACAAATGAAATACATTGTTTTAATGAGCCTTCAAATTTATGTACAAAGCTTATATTACACTTGATTGAAATGACTTGCTGTTTCATTGAGAAGTTTTAGCTTATTATAACACTTTTCAAAAGTTATTTAACATGCCATTTTAGCTTCTTTTTAAAATGCTATTATGGATCCTGAAATTGTGTCTTTATGAATGGGCAGAGAGGTGTCATCATTTAACCATTGTCTTTCAGTACCATGCGGGAGACTATGAAGTATGTCTATGGACACCATGGAATTCGAAAAGGATTATATCGTGGTTTATCTCTTAATTATATTCGATGTATTCCCTCTCAAGCAGTGGCTTTTACAACATATGAACTTATGAAGCAGTTTTTTCACCTCAACTAAAAAAAAAATTGTGGTTTGTGGTTTATTTTCCTTAATAAACTCTCAGAGAAAAATAAAATGTTACTTTAATTGTGAAGCAAACATTACTTGAAGGGGGATATTTACCCTGTCACAGGAACCACTGACTTTACTACTTGATTTTTTTTTTAATTCACAAATCAAAATTGCTTTTGATGCCAATATCCTTTCTTCTGCCAAACATTATACCTTTGAACATTGAAAAAATATTACTAAGCTGATGATGCTAATCATAACAGGTTATTTGAGACCATTTTAAAGTGTTATTTGGGAGCAAAACTAACTTAAAATGGAGCTTAAGAGGTTGCCATTAGCTTTATCTTACTATTCCAAACTTCTTCTTCTTTTTATTTTTGCAGTGCTGGGGTCAAATCCAGCACCTCACACATGGCAGGCAAGTGCTCCATCCCTGAGCTAAATTCCCAGCCTCTTGTTCAAAGATTTTAATTGTAATCATGATTTTTTTTTTTAAGGCTGAGAATTGAGCCCAGGGCCCTATACATGCTGAGCATGCACTTGATCACTGAATGATTGTCCAAGCCTGTAGTCATAATTTTGTAAAGAGTCTTTGAACAGTTTTTTTATATTATAAAATAAACAAGTTTGATTATATTGCAGTAGAACAATAAGAACTGAATTTTTAAGTTCTATAAAATATAGCCAGCATTCAAGTATTATTATTTCTCTTCTTATGAATGTGTTTCACAAGATAAAAGAACACTTTTCTTTTTAGTAAAATAAATATTGTATTTAAAAGTAGAAACTTGCTGGATGCAGTGGCACATACCTTTAATCCTAGTAGCTCGTGGGGCTGAGGTAGGAGGATCACAAGTTCAAAGCTAGCCTCAACAGTTTAGTGAGGCCCTAAGCAACTTAATGAGACACTTCTCAAATTAAAAAATTAAAAGGGCTGGGGATGTAACCAGTGGGTTCAATCCTCAGTATATCCCCCCCCCAAAAAAAGCAACAACTAAAGACTCAAGATGGGTATGTTGGGACACATCTGTAATCCCAGTGGCTCCAGATACTGAGGCGGGGGGTGGCAAGTTGAGTCCAGTCTTGGCAACTTAGGAAAAACCTGTCTGAAAACAGGAAAAAAGGTCTAAGTATGTGATTCATTGGTAGGGCACCCCTGCAGTCAATCCCCAATACAGCCAAAAAAAAAAAAAAAAAAATGAGAGAGACTAAATAATCATCAGGTTTTGCTCAAATGTTATGACCAGGTACTATGAGGCATTTACATGTGTTTTTAAAATTCAATATATTTTCCAAAGGCAGTAATAATAAACCCGAATATCTTTGCTCTCAGAAAGAGTATACTATAGATTTGTTCTTATTAGATCATTTGATGTCTACTGGAAAATTTATTTAAGTGGACTGTGAAATATACATTAATGTAGATGTGTGAGTATCAAAGAATGTGCCTAAGGTATTATGTCATGATGATACATCAAGTAGTTCTTCCATGTAAAGTAATTTTATTACAATATAAATTTAAGTAGAAAAATAAGATATGGTCTGATTGTTATCTTTTATATTAAGAAAACATTTTAAATGTAATAATTCCATTTACTGTATTTAGACACTTTTTATGTTTTGTTGTAAGCATGACAGAAATGGGCAGGGAACAATTAAAATTCTATATTGAGAAATAGTAATTTGTAGAAATTAATGTGATTTTTAAGACATTAGAAAAGTTGAAAGTGTTATTTCTGCATCAATTATTACTTTTTGCTTAAGAGATTTCTTGTCATACTTCAGTAAAAATTTAATGAACTGGTTTCATTTTCAAGTCTTTATTTTAAAAATAAATATGTATCTTTGTATGATTTGTAAGTGTACCAGCCAGTAGAAACACATGTGTTTCTAAAAGTATTTTGTATATTTTCATTTCTGGGGCACACTGTAGGTAACTGTTATCATGAGATCTTGAGATAATTTAAATGTATAAAATAAGTATCTCAGTTATGTTATCAATTAAAGGGAACTGCAGATATTTTTAAGTAAAAAATTGCATTCTATGTCTGTTACAGAATACACAGGATATTGAAAATAAATTTTATTCTTGTTTTGATGGTTTCTTTCTTTTGTTTACATTATTGAAGCACAAACGTGAAACATAAGCAGTCAGAATGGAAGAATATTTAAATATTCTTTGTATTTTATTTATTTAAGATCAGTAACCCAAAGTGCATTTTCCTAGGTTGTGTGTTTGTGTGTGTGTGTGTGTGTGCGTGCGTGCGCCCGTGTGGGTTACTAGGGATTCAAACCAGAGATTCTCTACTGCTGAGCTCCATCCCCAGCCCTTTATTTTTTATTTTTAAGACAGGGTCTCACTAAATTGTCGAGGCTTCCCTCATTAAAGTTGTGGTCCTCCTAACTTGACCTTCCAAGTATCTGAGATCACAGGTGTGTGCCATCACTCCTAGTTTAGTTTAGTTTCCATTTGAAGATTGTCAATTTCTTTCTTTTTGTCTCACCAGGCCTCTTTTCCTGCCTTTCATTTTGTTTAGCTCTCTGGTCTGTACAATGGGTCAATGGTCTGATTAGGATTGATGCGTGCCGTAGCACCCCTAATTCTCAATGGTTGCCTGTGTGTAGGTGGAGAAGTTATTGGGTGTACATAATAATATCTTGCTCCATTTTCCACCGGGGTACCGAACATGCATTTGTTTCCCATATTGTACACCAGCTATACCAGCACTGTAGGGGACTTCCCTTGGGAGGCCAAATTTCACACAAACTCATTTGGATACTCAAAAACATCCAACACTGGGTATCTGTCTAATAAAGTATGGGTTGCACTTTATGATAACTACTTGTTTACCTATGTTCTTCCCCATAGTTGTTTTCCCAAGGTCAGAGCCATATCCTTGCCCCTAGTGAGGAACAGAGGGTGTGGCACTATAACAGTGCTCAGTAATATTTATTGGTGGGAGAAGGAAGCCTCACTCCCATTTTTAGAGACCTATCCTAATTGGGATAAATAAAGCACAAATAGTCCAAGAAAACCACAATTTAGAAATAATATATTTTCTTTCACAGAAATGTTGTATTGCTAATTTGCCAATATGAGTGGTAAATTAGGAAACCTATATTATACAAGTAATGCATTGCCTGGCAGAGTAGGCCAATCATATCTGACACACTTGTTCAGCAGCTACACACTTTTCACAGTTCCTCAGATATCTTCTTTGAATATTAGACATTGTGTTAGGCACTAGAAACCAGTGATAAATAGTAATAGTCATAGATGGGTACAGTGCCACACTCCTGTAATTTCAGTAACTCAGGAGGTTGAGTCAGGAGGATAGCAAGTTTAAAACCAATCTCAGCAACTTAGTGAGACACTGCCTCAAAAAAAAAAAAAAAAGTCCTGGGGATGTGGCTCAGTGATTGAGCACCCTTGGGTTCAATCCCCAGAACAACAACAACAGCAAAAGTAACAGTCGTGTATTTCCTTGGGACTTCTTTTATGCCATGCTTTATTTTAAGCAATTTTTATGCTTTAACGCAATCCCTATAATAATGCAATGAGACACACACTATTTACTATTCTTTTTTTTACGGATGATGATAGTCAGGGCCGGGGAAGTTAAGTGATTTGGCTAGGTTCACATGATAAGTGGTGGATCTAGGATTTGAATTCAAGTTAGTCTGAATCTAGAGGGTAGTGTTCTAGTTATGTTGCTATATGCTAACAATTATATCCTGTTCAGATGAAACTTAAGCATGTCTTTTTTTTTTTTTTTTTTGGTACTGGTTATGAACCCAGGGGTGCTCAACCACTAAGCCACATCCCCAGCCCTTTTTTGTATTTTATTTAGAGACAGGGTCTCACTAGGTTGCTGAAACTGACTGAACTTGTGATCCTCCAGCTTCAAACATGTCAATACATTTGAACATGTTAATAAACATAAGCCAGTAATAAAATGAGTGCAGTTTGTTAAAAGTGCTTACAAGGGGGTAAATACTCAAGGAGGCCACTTAGAATGGTTGAGAAAGTGTTTCTTTGATGTGCAATACATACTATAACCTGATACGTGAATGATAAAAAGGAATCAGCCACGAAAAGAGATACATGGGAAGAATGGCCTTGTTGAAGGGAACAGTAGGTTCAAAACTTTTTTTTTTTTAATATTTATTTTTTAGGTGTAGATGGACACAACACAATGCCTTTTTTTTAATTTGATGTGCTAATATTTTATTCAGGTTTTTTACATATATGGTTTTGAGCGATATTGGTTTGTAGTTTTTTTCTTGTAATAGTTTATGTAGTTTTGATACAGTCTTATACTAGCCTCATGAACTGAATTGAGATTTATCTTCTTTCTTGTACTGGAGAAAACTTTACTTAAAATTTTCAAGTAGCAAAAATAATTAGATTCTGATCTTTTGGCAACTCAGAACAATTATAGTCAATGCATTAAATAAAAACAACCTACCAGAACAGTTACCTTTTCAAAAACAGAACTACTCTGAATTACACAAAGAGAAATTTTCCTTGAATAAAATTTAAAATATTACATACAATAGAAAGGAAAGAAAAATATCATATTTTTATCAACTT